CATTTATCACATTTGCATTACTCATTTATCACATTTGCATCACTCATTTATCACATTTGCATCACACATTTATCACATTTGCATTACTCATTAATCACATTTGCATGACACATTTATCACATTTGCATCACACATTTATCATATTTGCATCACTCATTTATCATATTTGCATTACTCATTTATCACATTTGCATCACACATTAATCACATTTACATGACACATTAATCACATTTGCATGACACATTTATCACATTTGCATCACACATTTATCATATTTGCATCACTCATTTATCATATTTGCATTACTCATTTATCACATTTGCATCACACATTTATTACATTTGCATCACTCATTTATCACATTTGCATCACACATTAATCACATTTGCATCACACATTAATCACATTTGCATTACTCATTAATCACATTTGCATTACTCATTAATCACATTTGCATGACACATTTATCACATTTGCATTACTCATTTATCACATTTGATTACTCATTTATCACATTTGCGTCACTCATTTATCACATTTGCATTACAAATTTATTACATTTGCATTACTCATTAATCACATTTGCATCACTCATTTATTACATTTGCATCACACATTTATCACATTTGCATTACTCATTAATCACATTTGCATCACACATTTATCACATTTGCATCACTCATTTATTACATTTGCATCACTCATTAATCACATTTGCATCACTCATTTATCACATTTGCATCACTCATTTATCACATTTGCATCACTCATTTATCACATTTGCACCACTCATTTATCACATTTGCACCACTCATTTATCACATTTGCATCACACATTTATCACATTTGCATCACACATTTATCACATTTGCACCACTCATTTATCACATTTGCATCACACATTTATCACATTTGCATCACACATTTATCACATTTGCATCACACATTTATCACATTTGCATCACACATTTATCACATTTGCATCACACATTTATCACATTTGCATCACACATTTATCACATTTGCATCACACATTTATTACATTTGCATCACTCATTAATCACATTTGCATTACAAATTTATTACATTTGCATCACTCATTAATCACATTTGCATCACTCATTTATCACATTTGCATCACTCATTTATTACATTTGCATCACTCATTTATCACATTTGCATCACTCATTTATCACATTTGCATCACACATTTATCACATTTGCATCACACATTTATTACATTTGCATCACTCATTAATCACATTTGCATTACAAATTTATTACATTTGCATCACTCATTTATTACATTTGCATCACTCATTTATCACATTTGCATCACACTCTAATCACATTTGCATCACACATTAATCACATTTGCATCACTCATTAATCACATTTGCACCACTCATTTATCACATTTGCACCACTCATTTATCACATTTGCATCACACATTTATCACATTTGCACCACTCATTTATCACATTTGCACCACTCATTTATCACATTTGCATCACACATTTATCACATTTGCATTACTCATTAATCACATTTGCATCACACATTTATCACATTTGCATCACTCATTTATTACATTTGCATCACTCATTAATCACATTTGCATCACTCATTTATCACATTTGCATCACTCATTTATTACATTTGCATCACTCATTTATCACATTTGCATCACTCATTTATCACATTTGCACCACTCATTTATCACATTTGCACCACTCATTTATCACATTTGCATCACACATTAATCACATTTGCATCACACATTAATCACATTTGCATCACACATTAATCACATTTGCATCACAAATTTATCACATTTGCATTACTCATTAATCACATTTGCATTACTCATTTATCACATTTGCATCACACATTAATCACATTTGCATCACTCATTTATCACATCTGCATCACACAGTTTCAACATGGTGATTATATTAGATTATTACCACACTCTAATATAAGGAAGTGGTCTCGCAGTTGTGGACGATCATAGAAGTTGGGCAAGGATATTTGTGTTTCCAGAGTAAGTTTAGATCGCCACTGCAGGGTGAAAATGTGTAATACAACGTGATGGAAAAGAAAAAATATGTGACATGAATGTGACCAATGGGTGGCATGAATTCGATAAATTCACAACCAAATGCGATAATGTGGATAAAGCTGACAATAACAAGTATGCTATCATTCCAAAAATTGAAAAATAAAGGGTGTCACGTGGTGTGAGTGTTCAAATTTCAATGCACTTTATAAGTGTTGTACGCAACACAAGTATGCAAGTATAACAAGTATGCTATCATTCCAAAAATTGAAAAATAAAGGGTGTCACGTGGTGTGAATGTTCACATTTCAATGCACTTTATACGTGTTGTATGCATGCATACCCATATAGTGAGTGAGACAACTAACTTCCTTCCTTTAAGATGTCAACAACAAATTTTTGAAAAATTAGATTTAGCCCTCGAGTATTGAATAAATTAATTCTTACCATTATTTCCCCGGATAAAAGCATCACCATATTTATTCTTAAGTTGTCCATTAACATATTCTTCTGTTTGTTCTAATGCTATATTCATGTAGCCATCTAAGCATGCTAAAACTCCTGAAGATAATGAAGATGTACAGGATGCATGATGGAAGAAGGAAGAGGACAAAAAATTACAACTAAATTTGGACATCTCGACAATCCTACCTATTTTCAGAACCAAACAAAACTAAAATCTTGAGAGACTGCCTTATGATCCAGCACTGGATCATAACAATTGCTTTAAATTTCAGACCATTAGATGACGGTATATAAACGGCCCCAATTGGAAATCTTTTCACCAATGGCCATATAGACAAATTATGTACTGTAAATTAATCTTCATGGACTGGATACGGCTTTTGTCACCAGAGGTCATACAATGGAAATAAATGAGGGCCACAAAAGCTGTATTCAGTCCATAAAGGTTATAATAAAAATAAATATTAAAATAAATTGATTCAAGCTACTTATGTTTTATTTATTTCAGTTATTAATCATATTTCTGTGATTAATTCATATGTGCACACTGTTGATTGATATTTTATGATTGCTCTTTAATGCCATCAGATTATGGTCCTAAATATCTTTCTGTATTCGACAGCTTCTTGTATCTATAGCTAATATGTTTAAGGATGTAGTAGACTTTCGTTGGGCAAAACAGAAAAAGCTTGATAAAAATAATAATAATGATTAATGACTAACAATATTTACATGTTATTGTAGCCCTTGCAACACTCTATCCAACAATTATGATAACACGAATGTCAACATTAAGTACGTCACGTGACTGTTAAATAAACAAAATCAATTGTTCTGCTATTTTTACTTTTACTAGAAAACGAAAACAGTTAGCCAACACATTTTTATGAGAAAAGAAGTACTACAATATTCTCAAACATAATGTAAAATAGTTTCTGAATTGTTTGGTTCTTTTACAAAGTGGTGGAGAAGAATTCTGTAATAAATTATATTGTTCCGTTTTCAAAAGTCAATTAGTCATGAAATATTACTGATACTTGAAAAAGATTTTATATTTGTTTTCAATTGATCTTGAGTTCAATCTCTGAAAAAAATCAATGAAATCAGACAAGAACTGTTTGCATAATCATGATTTTTGTGTTTTAGACACGTTACTTTTCAAAGGGCACAGTCGAGAGGATATTTTCTGTTCAGTGCGTCGTATTCAGTTATTTGTTGATTTTTGAATATCAAAATAACCCATTTAGTATATGGCCGATAAAGTTATGAAAAAATCGATAATTTGAAGCATGTGAAAACAAAGTATGGCCGCTCTTGAATAAACAGTGTAATCACATTATCAATTTAAGTTTATTTGCTTGACAAGTTTAGTTTTGAGTGTTATACCATATCACAACAAACAATTGTTTATGTACAAAACGTGATATGTGACCGTTAAACTTGAACACTGTCGTGTCTACGCTTCCTTTCTCGTAAGCCACTGCACCCGAACCAAGCGAAAATATCATCAGAGCAGAACTACATAATGAGATGCCAATACTCGGTTCAGCTACGCTTTTGAAAGTCAGTCTGCGTCCCACATGACACAATGGATCTGATTAGTCTATTTTTGACTACCTTGTATTCTTAGCCAATCCGCGTGCATGTGTTATGTTCGGAAGGTCGCATGTGCACTGGAGAATATTACGATGGTCAGCCAGATTTGTAATCAATATATCCAGTTCGTTTCACCGCAAACATTGCCTGATACTGCAGACTTCATTGGCGATATTTTTCATTTTGACATGCTCATCCTGTGTGTTGATGTGTCATTCAGCCTCCAGTGACAGTATAGTGGTGTCATCATCGTCAGCATTTGAGGTGGTTACGGTGGTGTCTTCAGCCTCCGGTGTGGTGGAGCAGATGTCATTCAGGTATTCACTCGACTTGTCTGTTGTCGACTCGTTCAACTTTGTTTCGTAGAGGGACTGTGTTTCGTAGTAAAAAATACGCTTTCTGTTATTCATAAACTTGCAGGTTTCGCTTGTCATTGGAACACTCTTTTTCCAATTTTTTTCCGTGCCATTTTTCAAAATAAACTTGGGTCAATACAAAATAAATGAGCAGTAATATATAGTTCAGAAAAGCGATGCGATGTGATGAACTACCAGTAACGAGTGAGTGCATCCAGTCATTTGACCGGACGCGTGCATGCAATGTTTATTTGCGGGATTAAGCTAATTACAAATGTTATTGTTTTGGCTCAGAGGGGCTTAACCAAGGTGTATATTCCCGGGATTACCGGTACTTGTAAATTATTTTTAACTTTTTTAAAAAGCTGCCTATAAGTATAAGTCACAGTTTAATAAAACAAAAAAAATGAAAACAAAAACACCACCGAAAGTCTACTACATCCTTAATGTTTTATTTAATAAATGCATAATTTCGATAGATAATAAATATTCTACACCAATACCCGGTATTGCATAGCTTAAAGAGCATGTACACATGTAATCTATCAAGCATCTCACCACTCACCTCTATAATCCACACCAGAATTGAGTTTAACGACAACAGGTCTACCAATAATCTGTTTAAGAAAGTCACTTGGTGTCTGTTTACGACTCATGTTTAGATCTGATATGAAACCTTAGTCACCATACATATGAATATATGGACTGTAATAAAAAGAACAAAATATCAATCAGATAGTACGTAGATACAAAGAGATGAGAGACCACACAGGAATAACCAACTCTAGTATAACAATTAATGTAGCATCTCTTGGTTACGTGCACGGTTACGTTTAAATATCCCAAAATGAGTTACCTCGCGCATGATGTATAAAATAAAAAAAAATGTGAATTATGATTTTCAATAGACAAACTTCAAAACAAAAATATGACAAAAACCAAACTATGTGCAGTACAACATAAACTTGTTGCTTTCGAACAAATTTAATACATGATTTTGAAAATAGCTTACCAAAAGTCTCGCATTTGACGGGAAATTCATTTTTTGCAACTCAATCCAAGAAAATGAAAATATGATATCTTTGTTCAGTGATTTTATAGAAACTTAAATTACAGTTGAATCAAAGCAGCCAATCAACAAGAAGTACTCACCAAAATAATTTGAATATGTTCCAATGTAATTCAATTTTCAGTTTAAATTGTGAAATTGATAAATATTTATGAAGATGAAGGAAATGCCTTTGTTACAATGAGAATACTGCATGCTTCATCACTAATCCAGAAACTTAATCTGAACCTACATATTTTGAAGAAAACTTCAGCATCTAAATTTTAATTATTGTGCTCTGCCCTTGATTTGCGATTTCCATTTTTGCAAACTTTTGTCTCGTGGTGGCATGTCATGCGATTAATTTCTTCACCCTCAGATATTACGGGGTACTTCTTGACCTTCACTATGGATGTTTACTCAGCTGAAGCTAGCAGACACTCCCAGCAGAGAGTAAAAGCTAGCAGACACTGTCCATCAGGCATACAAAAGCTTTGAATCACTATTATCATATCCGTTTTCATTGACTAATCAAAATATTAATTTACTTGGATTATATTCATTTTAAAGAGCAATTCTATAAAATTCTATTGCTTGTATATGTACGTATACACTATACCTAATATTGAAACTGTTGAGTGAGCCTTTTACGACTTGTGTGGTACGAGTGAATACATTTGTTCGAATTGCTCTGTTAAAAGGAGATAGTTGTCATGGCACAGCCTGCTTGATCATCTATCTTTTTTTTATATATACATGTATATTCGTGTCTTTCTTTTGTTTTTGTCTTTTTCTAGTTCTAGACCATTTTATAGTCGTAATTTTGTAGTATGTTTGTTATCATTGATATCTTGAAATAGTACAGTTGAAGTATAGTTGTTACTTTATTAGAATTAATCAATTTATTGTGAGAATTTTGTTAGTTTTACAATGTCAGAAATGTAACCCTTTTCATCTTTCCGAGGACAATACAAATCTATTAACTCATAACAACCTACTGAAGGAGGTTAAAGGTTACTACAACAAAAATTACAGATAAAAATTAATCAAATTACAATGGCCAATAGTTTAAAAGACAACTAAAAACAGACTAAATTGAAGTTAGTAATGGAAATATATAATAAAATAAAATGGGACGCCAACAAAAAAACTATAAACTGAGTATAAAAACAAGAACCCAATGAACACATAATAGGTATAAAAAAAAAAGTCATGACTAAGTAGGTGCTGCTGTCTAATAACAAAGCTGCATTTCAAATATTGTGCCAGAGGAATTGTTAAGTTATTATTTGACATTATTTTTATGAATTTATTTTCAGGTGCGAGATTGGTAAAGTCAGGAATAATCTTTTCAGCTTCGTGGTATAAAATGACCCTCTCTTTACTATATACTGGGCATATTATGAGGAAGTGATGTTCATTTTCAATATCATTTTTATTACACAATTTGCAGATTCTGTCGCTACTTTTGATTCTGTTGTGTCTTCCTTTTTCAATTTCAACTGTGATTGCTCAGTCTGAATTTAGTTAGGGTACCGGTACTTTTCAGTTCTTTATTTTTTAGCTTAATTAAGTAGTTTTCCAAAATGAAGTTTGTTTTAAATTTTTTGTAAGTCCTCAGTTTGTTTTTTGTATTAGTGTTTTGTCTGTTATCATCATTAATTGAGTTAATCCAATGCTTTATAAATACACTTTTTATTTTATCAAATATCCGTGACATTTGTGACGATTTTAGCTCCTTTCCAAAGGATGTTGTGTGTTCTCAATAAATCATATTATGATATGGGAGTCATAGCGATCTACATAATGCATGTAAAATACATTATTTGAAATATTTGAAATTGAACATGCGCTGTGCAATGACCACTACCCTTTAAAGTAATAGTCACTGGCTGTGCTGTGTTTGAAGTGAGTCCCATGCAATACATATACATGTTTGTTTACACAAAATTCGAATACATGCTGCATGACAACTACTGCCCTTTAAAATGATTAAATTAATTTGTTTCATTAATTAATTTGTTAATTTGATTCATACCTTTTGATTGATAGACAATGTCTGCTAGTGTCTGCTACTTTCCACTGACTACTGGGAGTGTTTGCTAGCTTCTGTCGCCGAACAGCGAGTCGGCGGCTATCAGGTGTACAACTTGGTTGTAGTGGTAGTAAATGAATTAACCAACATCGTTACGATAGTTATTTACGATATGGTGGAAGCCATCCATCCATCAATAAATTTCTTGCATTTACTACATCGCCAGCTAACAATTGTTTGTGCATGGGCAGCGGTGTGGGTGAGCAAAATGTGTTCAAGTTGACCATTAACACGCCGATATCTTCCGTACGTCAAACGTTTTGGTCTGAACATGGCTGTAATAATTAATAACACATTGTAAAATGATTTTTCATTTCAATGTACAGATACAAATAATAGTTTACCTTGCACGAAATCAGTTCTCATCTACCAACGATCATTTATATTTAATACCTCATGACTTGACGAACAGACTTGTAAATAGCGCCCCCTACAAGGTCATAGGTCAAACTGTTTAAGCAGCCCGATCTATCAAATTCATAACAGTTTAAAATAAAAGAAATGTATTTGTTACCAATAATTATTGAAATGTTAGTAAATTTATAGTTCATTGTAGTGTGTTATCATTTAGCTAGGATATGTTAAAATCTGATTTTTTTAGATTTGAATGTAGCTGTAATATTGACCAATGACTGAAACCTACGTCAAAACCACGTGATTCTGGCTGACCAATAACGGTTGGCGGCATATTTGAAATCGTTGTGAATGCGCGTACATTGAGCATTTCTTTCCGTCTGTGTTGCTTATACCTCAATTAACATTTTTGCTGCAAAACCTGCCAATTCTTGAGCTGTTTCTACATTATCACAATGTCTTCGAAACACATCTACTACTCGGATAAATATTTTGATGAAAAATTCGAATACAGGTAAGGAAAGTGTTCATCTTCGTGTATACGATAATTGTTTTCAAACTTGCCAGCTATCTGCTAATGTCTAAACACGTTTAAAGTTCAAACGACAAAAAGTAGCTAATTTCGCCCCATAACGAAACAATGAAACTTATGAACTAGTTGTACGTTTTTAGCATCAAATCATTTCAGAAACTAGTCCGGTCATGCACGGAGCTAAAATAGGTCATGTAAAATGGCCGCTTTATTATTTGTATTTGTCAACTGGTCCTTGAGGTGGGCCTGGTGTTTCAACGTAGTTCTATCCGCTTTTTGTCGTGTGTACATGGTCCGTAGAATTTGTTCAAGGGCACTGATGCCACAATTGACTGACGTGACTTCGAATTGCCGCAGTTTGGTCGTGTCATTATTAGAGCCATGAATTAGTTACATCGTCAGTTTCCATTCAGACCCATTTTATTATAAGTAGTACTTTCCACGTTTACTGTAAAGAATCCTAATATTAGTAAATTGTTAGTTTGATCTTCAAACTATCTTCGCATTAATTGTTATTCAGGCTTGTGAGGATTGAAATTGCCACCCAGGTCAGGGTCCCTCCAAGGTTGAACGAGCTTTCGGCTGAACTGGTCATGAAATCACTATTTTGTCAAAAAATACAGCCTACCATACAAGAGTAATACTAATTTATACAGTAAAGCGTTTAGCCAAATTTATTTTTGTTAACTCCCTTATCAATTTAGCTTTTCATGGTGGATGGATAGAGGGGAGCCCTGCAGGGTTTCATACTTGTGTGCTCCAGTCAATGTCAACCCCCCACCTCAGGGTTTAGTGGGGGGTTTGGAAATTATTGTTGAAAAATTTGTCAAATGCCCCACCTCCTTGGGCAAGGATAGGCAAATCCCCACCCCAAAATAAACCCCCAGCATTTCCCCCACATTTCCTCAACCCTGGGGAAAGCCACTGTCCGCCATGCTTGCTATCAGCAGAGTACTCAACGAACGTATACGCATGCGCAGCTAGCGATGACGGGACACGAAACAAGTGTGGATAGCTCCTCGTCCTCAATGTTGTTTGCTCTACTACAGTAGTATCACTGCATATTATTCTAAACCAAATCCATTTTGACCAATCGGGTAAATTCAGAAATTGGCAATTATTTCACTGACCATATACAGGGGTACCAATGAAAGTGTAGCTTTTTAATGAAAATCACAGCTTTGACACAGTGCAGCATAGCTTGGTCAGGAAAAGCTTAGCTGCAGGAACGAAATCCGCTAG